CCAGGCGGCCGTCCGACCGTCCTATGGACGGCCACTCCTGAATTTGGACGGCTAAATTTTAATGGACGGCCTATGGGAATATTTTCTTTAAATAGCAATTTACAAGCTTTGTAATATCTCTTGAATACTTCGAATTGTTATCATCTGCTGTTTACTTTACTTATGGTCTATGTTTTCATACTTCTCCCCCTCGAAAACACATTGAATATGCCTGAATTGAAGTACCGACAAACGTGCCATGTTTTTGTAACCATGATGATTCTCGCATGAAGTATCAAGGAGAATAATTTGAAGCCGCCGTTTTAAAAAACAGCAATCGCTTTATCGCTCGAGCACCACACTGCTTTAAAGTTACAGTTACGGTAAAGATGGCTATAAAATGAGCCAAACGCATCAAAAAAAGGGAAAAAATATTGGCGATTGATAAAAAAATAACTAAACACTACACTGCTGTATTGTGTTCTTCATTATAGCATATACTGTAGCCAGTACATCGTAGTGATCATACGGTTCATACCATATGTGTGCTTTTACTAATTTAATAACTGAAATGTGCATCTAAAAGTAAAAAGGTTCAACTTATAGAACACCACAATTCCACAACAAAAAATTGCGGCCACGCCCAAAAACATGTGACCACGCCAACAAAATTATTTTGGACGGCTACTTTGAAATCCCATAACACCCTGGTTTTACTTTCTACAAAACGACGTTTATAAATAAACAAGCATCGAAGCACGTATATTTGATAAGTAGAGGAGAAAGCTCAAAAAGGAATAAAATACTGAAATTACATTGAAATACTTCGCCTGCTTCTAGTTTTAAATATGAAATTTCCTTAAAATTTCCTTGCCGGAGCCGGAGTTTTGATTGCCGGAGCCGGAGCTAAAATAACCGGAGTTTGCACAGCTCTACTGCATTGGCACCACATCAGTGGCTCATCCATCACAATTCTAGGGGATCTCAAGGACATGCCTCCCTGGAAATTTTAGGTCTTTGAAACTGAGTTAACAGAATGAACCCATCTGTTCAATGAATCGAAAACTATACTCTGAAAAGAGGTGACAGGCTGACAGCCCCCCTCCCCCTTGACAGTGGTTGCTGTGATTTAGGAATGAATTACACCTACCCGATTCCTGCTCCTAGTTCAAGAATCTTCTTCCCTTTGAGATCAGGAAGGAGACTCAAGACCTCGGGATGTTCATGTTTTGTTATTTTACTCGCATCTTCATCCAACATCATTTCTTCAATGCTCTGTTTCTTGGAATGTTCCGTCCAATATGATGACATCACCTCTCTCGTTACTTCCATGTCTCTCAGTTGTGAGCTAGTGCGTTCTTGGCTCAGGTTGATTTTGGTGTTATTGGTTTTATCCTAAGGTATGCAAATTAATTGAGCTACTGTGCATGGTTTGTGTGTGAATATGTGTGAATTAGCTGAATGTTTCCAAGTGACTGACTGACTAAATTTGTGCTGCAATCAGAAATTACTGATTATTCATTCAACAATCTACTTGATTATTCATTCAACAATCTACGTGACGTCAGTCGTTTTGATTTTTAATGATAATTTACAACCTAACATGTTACATCTGCACCCAAAGTTTGTTAAAACCATTAATATTTGGCACACTTCACGCATCAATTTTTAATTAACATATTGCGTTAAAACGTAATCATCACATGCATATTCTATACCGTCCTACCCAGGTTAATTAAGTACTAGTTGTAAGCTGATTTGATCCAGTGAGGGGCAATTTTTAATAGAATTGACTCAGTTGAGTCTCTGGGCGCTTTCCATTAACACGGCCAGACCGGTTAAATTGTTGAATGAAACACAAAACATTTAGGCTTCGGACCTATCTGACTGGAAAATCTTGATAACATTAGAATGAGGTCCATTTTTGCTAGATATTTGAGAAACATACAACAGATCTTTCCATTGATACAGGGAAAAAAATTTGGGTCTGATCGGTCAGGCCATTAAATGGAAAGCGCCCTCTGAAATGGTATTTTCTGAATGAAAGTATATTAGACAGTGCTTATCTAGTATCGATAAAGTTTAGGCTTCTCGTGCAGCAACACTAGACCAAAGAGAGATGGTCCTTAATTTAACCCATTGAGCCGCAATGTGCCCCACTTGTCTAACGCCAGATGATTTTACTCGTCAATGAGGAAGCTCTGCAGCTTAATGGGTTAACCAAAAGATCTGACAATGTCTCTAGTTAACCCATTGGGCCGCAATGCACCCCAGTGCGCCCTACTTTTTTTTACTTGTCTATATAACGCCAGACGATTATACTCGTCAATGGGGAAGCTCTGTAGCTTAATGGGTTAACCCATTAAGTTGCAATGCTCCATAATGCACCCTATTTTACTTAATTTTAAGCTGTGTGTTTATACTATACCAGGTAGCTTTCCATAGTGACATGAAAAATCACCTATCCACAACTTCACAGTGTAGTACCTTTTAGGAACGCTATTTTCAGAGGCATTATTGCAACAGAGAGTTGTACATTCAGTATCGGATAGGCCATGCTTTTCCGTGTTGCTATGGAAAGCTATATCCGCTATAGTACGTGTGAACGTAGCCTAACTCTGCCCAATGCCATATTATTACTCTGTCTAACGCCAGACTATTTTACTTGTCAAGGGAAGAGTGCTCGCACTCAATGGCCAATGGGTTAAATGCAGCATAAAATATGGATCAAATTATTTATATATGATTGCGTCATTGGTGTAAAATGTTCTACTTCAGGCTATATGGCTGAAATTCCTGAAAACAGCTGTCAGCTTTCGTTTGCTTTATATTTTAGTCTTTGAATGAAGCTTTCAGTCTTTGGGAAAATACTTATGTTAACAATATTAATTTATATCTTCTTATGATTTATTCTAATTGTCTTGATTTCACGATATTAAAACATAAAACTGTTCAATTATGTTGATGAAATATTCTGTTTATGTCACGTAAAATATTTATCCACTACACGTACAAATGTACAATAAGGATTATTTTTTAACTGTGCTTTAAAATTTATTATACTTTTCATATAAATATGTGATAGTGTACGTATGATTGCTTTTTACGGTTTATTTCAACAGTTAAATCAATTCAAAAATATTGTAATCGTCAAATTAATTCTTTATATACACTATAAACAATAAAACACAATTAAAAACACAAAAGTGTTTAAGAAAACTGAGCTTTCGATCTCGATTCTCACTTACCAATTTATCCACATATACAAAAGTTGAAATTCCTCTAGGGACTACAATATTCACGGTAATCAAAGGGTAATATCGCGGAAATACAACGATATTCCCCAGTGTGTACTATGTACTATGACCGTATTTTCACTTTTATTAAACTGCGTTGTTATTTACCTATGTTATTTACCCATTGAATAAACTTGACACGTGATGCTAAGAGAAAACCCCGCAGCGGGCAGGAAATGCGTATTAAACAGATTAAAGTGCTCTGATTTCTTTCAGAATTATTTTTTCTCGGTTGAGGATTGCAATAAACGAATTTCCAGAATGCATAGAACGTTTATGGTATTCAAATCACTATCTGAATGCGCGCATACAAGTGTTTCAGCGAAGTTTTTTAAAGTCACAAGGCAGGATACATAATATCTGAATCTAATTTCCGCTGGGAATGCGCAAAATTTGCCACATGTTTTGTTGGGACACGATGTTCACGGCGTGCTGTTCACGTGCTGAGCTCGTGTAACAGGTGCAGTTGTCAAGAAATTGGAAAAATATGCGATCAACTTTTTAACTTGCTCCTGATTATATAAGTGATCTGATATGTATCAGAGACAAGTCATCTTATAGTCTTAGATCAAATAATACAGGTTTACTGCTTGCACAGCCAAGGGCTAGATTCAAGAAAACATTGGGAGACAGATCATTTACATCTGCTGCCCAAAAACTGTGGAACATGTTACCATGTCACATTAGAAATACGGACAGTTTTAACAGTTTTAAAAAGAGTTTAAAGACACATTTATTTAGATTAGCTTTTGACATAAATACATAGATAGGTATACTTCAATTTTAACTATTTTAATACTTTATTGTACAGCGCATTTGATCATATATAAATGGCTAATTTGCGCTATATAAATTGGAATTATTATTATTATTATTTTACATGACTTGCCTAGTTGCCTTGCACTTTTCCACCTGTCTTGCAAATTGTCTGGCATATTTTCCTACTTTCCTATGTAGTGGATTTCCCCCTTTCTAACCCATTCAGCGGCAACACTCTGAATCTCCAAGTAAAATAATAAAGTAGGGCATACTAGGGTAGAATGCGTTAACTAGACACATGGGCAGACTAACCCATTGAGCATCAAGCACTCTCCCCTTGACAAGTAAAATTGTCTGGCATTAGACAAAGTCAGATAATAAAGTATTGTGCCGTTGGGCACACTGCAACTTAATGGTTGACACATGGGTAGATAGTCTGCTTAAGTCAGTGGGACATGAGAAGAACCGTTTTTTACCACAAGTATCTTTATTTGAATTTATGCCTTGTATTGACGGAAATTTACATGATACAAATTTTACTTTTAAATAATTTGCATTGAACTTTATATAATGAGAATTCATATAATGTCATTTTTATAATGTTCGCTAAAACGGTTGTTTCTCGCTCTGTTGTTCCAATTCAACTTTAACCCATTCGTGTGTTTTGTTGGACTGAACGATTGCGTCCAACACTGCTCTCACATAGAAACCTAGAAAATGAAACAAAATTTATCTATATACATACTGTAACATCGTTTTTATTGGTAGGGTTTCCCCATCCAGCTTTCATATTAACCCATTGATCGCCAGTGATCACCCAGCCCTTGACAAGTAAAATTGTGTGGCATTAGACAGAGTAAAATAACAAAGTAGGGTGCATTAATAGGGCACAATGGTGGTTAACTAGACGCATGGGTATATAGCTTGGGTTATTGCGATGTAAACTGCTTTTTGCTGTATTTTGTCTGACAATCCTTGTCAAGGGCGGATTTTCATTTCTTTAAAAGGAGGGGTAGAATGGGGTGCAAGCCTTAGCGGCACCACTCAGTGAGCTTCGGCAGGGGTTAGGCATTTGGGTTAAAGCCTTTCACACAAAATAGGAGGAGTGAAGCGACCTTTTGGTGGGGTTGAACACTTTATTAGAGAGGTTAGGGAGTTTCTAGGGGGGGGGGGTAACCCCTCAGTAAATCCGCCCACGATCCTTGTGCTACATCCTAAACAGACAATGGACTATTTTATGACAAAAATTTAGTGACGTATTATCACCAAGTACCACCATCAGTGTCTGGTATGCCGGTATGGTTACTCTGCAAAGCAGTATTTGTTGGTAAACGAATACATGATAAAACTAGCAATTATACCATCGTCAAACTTTGCAGCACTCGATACGAAATCCAAATTTGAACTCCTGTGATCCTCTTGATTTAGGAAAGATTTCTTGACAGCCTGAAGCCATTTCTCAAATGCCAGAACATAAATATCAGGAGGCAAATTCTTAATATTCAACAGGGGTGGAACACGCCCTCGTTCCTTATACAGCAACTTCTCCTCGTTCGACTGTTCAAGGCTAACGCCGTAAAGATCACCATTTCTAACGACCAGTCGGCCTTTTGTGCCGACGACCATGACCTCTTGTTTAAATTTTCCTGGCATGTGAGTGTTTAACGAGACATTTGCAAAACAACCGTTGTCCATTTTCATTTGAAAACAAGTAAAATCGTCGCTCGTTATGTGCCGAAAGCCTTGTATGTGTTCGGTGTGCTTGTTGAACGTCTTTAGGACACCATGAACTTCAGTAGCTTTTTGACCAGTGAGAAATTGGCATAAGTCAATAAAATGGCTGCCAATTAGGTTTAAGCCACCACCGCCCATAACGAGGTCGCAAAGCCAGTTGTACTTAGTTCCGAGCAGCGATTCCATTTCAACACGGCAATCGTATATCGTTAAGTCCCCACAAAAGCCTTCCGAGATCAACTCTCTCATTTTAACGAAGGCTGGGAGGTAGCGTAACTGATGCGCCATCAAGGATAGCAGTTTAGGGTAATACTGGGAGGCGTCCACCATCCGTTGCGCATCCATCTTGTCCAAACCTGCCGGCCCCTCGCAAATGACATTTTTACCAATCAGTAACGCCTTGACGGTCACATCAGCTCTCAAATGAGGCGGACAGAACACACAGACAAGGTCGACTTCGTTCCGTAAAAGCAGTTCGTCTATTTTGGTGGTATAAACAGGAATATTTAAACTCTCGGCCATGTTTTTTACTTTGACTGCATTGTTGCCCCAAGCAGCAGCAATGTTGAAGCCGACAGAACGCAACAATGGCACGATGATACGAGACGCATATCCTGTCCCGATAATCCCAATAGAAGGAAGGCTGCTTTGTGCAGAATCTCGTCGTAAAGCCATTGAAACAGCTCAAAAACAAAGCAAAACAATTCAGACTATTTGGATTTTGGAGTTCTTTTCAAAATGATTCTTTTTGCAATTCTGGTGTTTCCACTGTAGAATTTCAAATTTTCAATTTCAAGAATTTTCTCATACAAATTCGAATGTTAAGAAACGTTTATAATTTTATATTACTATAAAAATGTTTTAATATGTATTATTTTGTCCGGGAGTTCTGCATTGTTAAGCAATAAACAAATTTTATCATTTTCTGCCTAGATATGACTATTAGTTGTTGAAATAATGAAATAAAATCGAAAATAATTTACAAATTTTCGAAAATTTTCTTGCAGTAAAATTTCCTGATTTCCTTTGAAGTTAGGGAAGTATACCCGGTGTCAAATTTCGTATAATACTTTACAAAATATAAGTATATTGATTTGTAGTTGTACTATTAATTGTATTTTTTATTACATAAATAACTTTTGATTTTAAAGATAATAAATATCGAGGAAACGTGGTATTTTCATTTGAAGAAAACTATTTAAAATTGGGAATTTAAGCTCGAATTTTAATAGGAGGTCAACTTTCAAAGGTCGAATCCCCGGTAGGGTATTTAGTTCGTATAGCGGGAAAACCCCGCCAAGGTTCAAGATGGCTTCATCTCGTGGCCTTGTTTTGGTTTTACTTCTTGCTTTGCTTTTGAGATGTTCGTTGTTTATGTTCGGTATTCATGATTGGATTTACAGTAGGATAGAGTTTGCCACTCCAGTGACATCTTGGAAAAGAGGTCTGTTAATTATTTGTTTTATATGTAATATTGATCAATGAATAAAATTCTGAGGGGGTTGCCTCAGGGGGTAAATACCTCCCCCCCCCGTCAATCAGTGGGAACCACATAAAGCA